ATGTTTTCCCGGTCAGGATGCTGGCCAGAAGCAGTGGGGTGCCCAGCAGTGCCCATCCTGTGGGATGCTCTACGCCCCCGACAGCCCCGAGGATCGGCTGCAGCACCTCCGGTACCACCAACGGCTCCAGGAGGGGCTGCGCTACCTGGTGAGGCGGGAATTCCGGGAATTCTGGGAATAGTGGGAATTCTGGGAATGCCGGGAATATTGGGGATGCTGGGATATTGGGAATGGGGAATGCTGGGAATATTGGGAATGCTGGGAATGCCAGGAATATTGAGAATATTGGGAATGCTGGGAATACTGGGAACGCTGGGAATATTGGGATTTCTGGGAATGCTGGGAATTCTGGGATTATTTGGAATGCTGGGAATCTTGAGAATTCTGAGAATGGGGAATGATGGGAATGCCAAGAATGCTAGGAATGCTGGGAATATTGGGAATTCTGGGATTATTGGGATTGCCAGGAATGCCAGGAATTCTGGGACTATTGGGAATGCTGGGGGTGCTGGGAATATTGGGAATGCTAGGAATATTGGAAATTCTGGGAATATTGAGAATGGTGGGAATGCTGGGGGTGCTGGGAATGCCAGGAATACTGGAAATCTGGGAATATTGGGAATGCTCAGAATGCTGGGAATATTTGGAATGGGGAATGCTGGGAATATTGGGAATACTGGGAATGGGGAATGCTGGGAATATTGAGAATTCTGGGAATTGGGAATGCTGGGAATACTGTGAATTCTGGGAATATTGGGAATGGGATGGGGTGGGATCCCTGCCTCGGGATTCCCACCTGGAATTCTGCAGTTCCCATGCAATTCCCCTGGAATTCCTGGAGGGATCTCGGTCCCTGTGGAGGTGGTGCGGGGGGACAGGAGCAGGGCTGGGAATGGTTGGGATCCAGGGGCTTTTCCTGGCTGGAATTCCAAGATTCCCAATCCAGGCAAACCTGGGAATGGTTGGATTTGTTCTCCCAGGGTTTTTCCAGGCTGAAATATCCCAAATTCCCAATTCAGGCAAACCTGTGAATGGTTGGGATCCAAGGGTTTTTCCAGGCTGGAATTCCCAGATTCCCAATCCAGATGGGGCTGGGAATGGTTGGATTTGTTCTCCCGGGGTTTTTCCAGGTTGGAATATCCCAAATTCCCAATCCAGGCAGGGCTGGGAATTTTTGGATTTGTTCTCCAGTGTTTTTTTCCAGGCTGGAATTCCCAAATTCCCAATACAGGGCTGGGAATTTTTTTGATTTGTTCTCCAGGGTTTTTCCAGGCTGGAATATCCTGAATTCCCTAATCTGGTCTAAGCTTTGACATCCAAAGGGATTTGGGATCATTCCAGCCCTGTCCATCCTCTCCAGAACATTCCTGGGAATGGTTTATTCCCAAAATCCGGAGCAATCCCCATCACTGTCCATCCTCACGGTTTTTTTTGGGATTTTCTCGGCAGGGCTGGAAGAAGGAGCGAGTGGTGGCGGAATTCTGGGATGGGAAAATCGTCCTGATCCTTCCTGAAGATCCCAAATACGCCGTCAGGAAGGTACTGGGAATTCCTGCTGGGATTGGCCTTGGAACTGGGCCTGACCCCAAAATTCCAATGGGATCTGATCCCTAAATCCCAA